AATTTTTGGTTCAGTAAGTTGATCGATTACCTGATTGATCAAAGGTTAATCGATAATGTGTCAGATAAAATGTTTCAGTATAATAGTAACTTAGCAGTAAGGATTGATCGATAACTTGCTAGATAATCCAAAATTTATGAGTTGATCGATCAATTTATCGATCATCGTTAACGTTGTTTAGTGTACAAGTTTGCAGAAGATTATCGATCAATTAATCGATAATTTAATGTTTGATCAACTGATAAAAAAAGATACACAATTTTGGTAAGCATCTATCGATTACCTGATCAATCAATGAGTTATTGATGAGAACACAGATAAATGATAAAGTTTTCGTACTTACTTTATAGTCTGTTTAATTTCCTTTTTATCAATCACTCCATTAATCAATCTTTAATTGATAACTTGTTCTAACATTACTTGTGAACTTACTAGTTTATTGATAATATGTCCTGTTTAAGTTGCCTAACAGGATCCTTAATCGATCAATTAATCGATCAGTTCTTTATCGATCAAATGATCGATCATCATCACCTTCACTGCACTTACTTGTTTTAAACCATTTTTCAAATCATCTTATCAATCATTGATTTATCGATTAAATGATAGATCATCCAATCCTCTGAATCTTCCGTTTTTCACATTTTGTAATCGATCAATGTTTTTCTTGGGATTTCTGAAATAAGCTTTCAACAGTAATTTTTTGATCACTTAATTGATTAAGTCTTAATCGATCATTTACTTTATCATCATATATTCTGTGACTTCTCTGTGAAAATCCATTTTAAACCTTTATCGATCAGATCTCCTATCATCCATTTATCGATAAAGCATTCGATCAACGCTCTGTGAAAATCTATTTATCTCATACTTACTCTTATCAGTAATATGATCGATCAAATAGTTTTCAATCATTTGTTCGATCATTGAATTAGTTCATTTCATAACAGCTATTCACAGTGATATTCAAAATCTTTTGAATCTTTATCTTTAAGTTTTTCTCAGCCTTCCTATTAGTCTTAGCTCTCTATTGAAGGGATTCAAAGGCATAGATGAATTTAAAGTTTTATTCTTGCATAATCTCTTCAGTCAAAAGTCACTATATTCATTTCTCATCTTTTATCGATCACTTGTTCGATCATCTGTTGATCCATAAACTTATCGATAAACATATGTGTGTGTGTGTGACTCAAGTTTTTCTCTGTAATTAATTGATAACTTGATCGATCAACCAGCCATCGATCAAGACATCGATCAGGTTGTTACAGATTACGAAGCAAGCTCAACGATTATTTAGTAACCTTTAACCTGCTATGTCAGAAGCATTAATGGTGAACTGTTGTAGTAATTTCTGAACACACGTAACTGATCTTCTAACAGCTAGAAGTTTTTCAGTCTAACGGTTAATTAATCTTCTCCAACTATAAAAGGCGCAAAGGGCATTAAATGAAGTATTGAATAAGCGAGCTACTTTCTATTGAAATATTCACTATTGCATTCAGTATTCTGTTTTTCACTGAGCTTCAGTGTTTAATATTCTTCCACTTTGTAAGAGAGTTTGATCCATTTTTTTACTCATTTACTAAGAGTAACTCAAGAGTGTTGACTCTTGAGGGGATTGTAACCTTACGAGTAGTAAGGTTGTAAGGGGGAGTGATTGAGAAAGTCAATTACTGTACTGAGGTGCCAAGAGTCCGTTTAATCTTGGGATCATAGTGAAAATCTCAGAGATGTTTTGAGGACTGGACGTAGGTCAAGTGGTTAAGACCGAACCAGTATAAATCTTGTGTCCTCGCTCTGCGGCGAAATTTTTCTAACTCATCTTTTTGTTTTATTTACCTCACTATTCCATTATGTTAAACTTTTATAACTTACCCAATTCACCCCCTCTTGGGTGAAGCTGCCACTAGTAGTCTATTTTTTAACAGAAACAAGTTCAGGCCTATTTAAAGACCTGTTTAACTTAACAAGTCAGACTTAGGCTTTTTGAAAAGCCTATTAAGCTTGTTACGCTAGCCTAGGCCTATTGTTAATTTATAATTATAATATATGAGAAAATTAATTAATGTTACTATTGTTAATGCGCTCCTTCAATTTATTTTTTAATTTTAATACATAGTTAATGGCCTAATGCTTTCTTGGATTTTGAAGTTTAGTTGAGAAGTAAGATAAAAATATAATTTAAAATAATAATATTAATAAATAGTGTGATCTTTAAATTTTAAAAATATAAATAAAATAGGAAAGAAAAATTTTGTTCCAATAATGATAAATTAATTAACTTATGTATTATGTTAATTAAATTATGATACCCTTTTTATTCGTTGTAAAATTAATAGTTTTTTCTCTTTATTTATTTGTCTTGATTTTAATTTTCATTTTGTAGTTAAACCTAGTCTTGTTCCGAATTTGAACATACAATTACAACTAGTTTTCAATAAGATCCTTGTAAATTGTAATTAAGATTTAAAATATTACTTATGATACTAAAATTTAAATAAAAGAAAAGACTAAAAAATTAATTATTATGTATGTTTTTTTAATCTTAGCTTTTTTTTTAAATATTACTATGTAATTTGAATTTTTTTAAAATACAGAATTTTTAACAGGTTTCAAGCCAAATTCAAGCTTAAGAATAAGCCTGTAATAGGGCACAGGTCAGGCTCAGACCGATAGATTATAAAACAGGTATGGCTTATTAAGGGTGAAACCAAGCCTGGCCTAGTATGTTCTCACATTTAACCCAATGTTTTAAAAGTTGGACCGGAAGTCGAATTGGAAAGATCAACGAGTCATGGTTCAATTGGTCGGACCGAAAGGAACATCTGGTCGGGCCAGTGATGCAATAATTAATTTAAAACAATATTATGTACATATAATTAATATATATGAAAATATCAAATTACTAAATAATTTAGAAATACATTTAAATCATCTAAAATTATGGTGAAATAATTGAAAATAGACTAAAACCTTATATATTTAAATTTATGTATGTTTAAAATATTTAATACTATTAAAAATTATTAATTCATTCAAATCAAAATGTTATTTTAAAAGCTAGACCTGACATCAAAACAAAAAAGCTAGCGACTCATAGTTTTAACACCACAATATGTGAAATTTTCAATGAAATAATACTATATGGTTATAAATAGTCTAAAAATATATTAGAATATTTGAGGGGGTCAATTTATTTTTATTTTCCTTCTATTTTTTTTAATTTTTTAGTATCTTTTCAGTCAGGCTAAAAAACCATTCAGTTTTCTAAAAACCGTTCCGGTTCCTAGTCCAACTCTAGGTTTTGGTTTAATGATGGCTCAACTTCGGTCCAATTCAACTCAACCATATGAACAGTTTTTTGGTCCAAACTAAGCTGTTGATGAGTCGGTTGACAATTCAACCGATCAAACTGTCCGATCCAATCCAGTCCGGTTCTTTAATCATTGTTTTAACCACACATGTGGTCCACGCACAATCTGACAAAGAAAACTGGGTCCATACTTTTAAAAAAAAAAAAAACTTACGATTCTGCCAGAATCACTTGCATTCCAGCTCAATGTTCCCCTCTATTTTAATACTTGACTAATAAACTATCATTGTTTTCTTTGTATAATAGTGCTATTTAATTGCTGGAAAAAAAGTACTATTTAGTTAATTACAGATATGTTTGGAGAAACAGCTTCATATTCCCCCCCCCCCAAATTTATTTTATTCAATAACGAATATTAACTTGATCTGGGATTCAAAATCTTATGATTTAGCGGGGGAAAAGAAAAGCCCTTGGAAAAGAATTTGACATCACTTATAATTAGTTCAATTAACTGATGAGTAGTTTTGCTCATGCACAACCAACCAGAATTTTTAATCCAGTAAAATATTTTTAAAAAGAAAATATATTAATTTGAATAATTTTTCGGTGGGAAATTCATAAATATAAAGAAATTTACATTTGACGATCACAACTTTTTAAAATTTAGGAAAAAATTTTACGAATTTAAAATATTCAAAACGTTTAAGGATAATTTTGTAATGAATAAATGAAACTATTCTTAAGTGCTTTATTTTTAAATTATCGCTTTAATTTTTCTGGAGGTAACTAAAATTTTGAGTTTCTAATGTTTCTGTCCCCGAACTCATAAAACTTACATGTGCAAATTACATAAAAAGAAAAAAAAATCTTCCTAAAATTACCAGTTACACTTTTTAGAGCTACATGTATCATGTATGTTTAGGATTATTACCATTACACAATTAGAAGATCAAAATTGACATTTTTAAAATTTTAAAATATTTTATCATCAACATTATCTTCGATTTTTAAGTATCCATTATAATAGTGTCTTCTATCACTGTAAAAATAAGGATAAATGTATAATTTTAGTTCCAGTATTATTTCTCAGCTACATCTAATATCTTGATCTTTTTAGTAGTATAATTTTACTCATGATTCTTTTTAGAGACAAAATTGCAACTTTGATTTTCATATTTTTTTAGAGTAATTTAAATTTTCCAACATTGTTACCAAATTACATTCATTATTAAAATACATACACCTCACTATTTAAAACTCGTGGTTTCCTTTTCCGCGTTTGCGCGTTCATCATGTCGGTGAGTCTTGTAAGCTTGTGTTGTATAGTTATTCTTGTTCCTGGGTCAACGGTGATGTCTTGTTGCTAATAAGCAATAACCCTGGATTAGGTCAAGCACGGAATAACATTACATTAAGACTCAGTTTGGATTAGTATTTCAAATTACTTACAAACATATTATATGTAAGTAAGGATAAAATTTTTTTTTATATACTTACTTCGTATTTTGTAAATTATAATTAGAAAATTATTTATAAGTTATTCTAAGAATTGAGTTTAAGCATATTATTAACAATCACATTGTAAACAAAATTCCAATAAACAAATATTCTGAAAAATGGTCAGCAAATTACTGAATTAGGCAACTTATGAGAACTGCATCTGTTCTCTCTCTCTCATCTAGCCTTTTTGCGGAGAATCACACGCTTCTTAGTTCTTAGCCTTCTTGTGAATAATCACAGACTAGTTTCCTGTCTCGTCGCCTGAGAACACCAGAAAGAGACACACAGAAGAAAGCAGAAAGGAAAATAGAAGCAGCATATGAAAATGGGATCAACAAACCCATTCAAAGACCAATCTTTCTCCTTCCCCAAGAAACTCTTCCCCTTCGCTCTCTATGCTCTTCTTGCCATTGCTCTCCTTCGTTTATACTTTTACCCTCTTCGTCTTCCTCCTTCTCCAGATTCTTCTCATCTTCCTCAATCTACCGTCCCCATCTCATCTCACTCTTCCTTCTCTCCTCCTGCTGCTTCTTCTTCAGTATCTTCTTCAGCAGGTATATGACAGATTGTTCATGGATTTTGTTTCAAATCTCATTTGGCAACTTGGGGTTGTGAGATTTTACAGACTTTCCAGACTTTACATGTTGTTTGTTACTGAATTGCAGAAGAAGCTAGACCCAATGAGACTCCATGTGACTACTTCAATGGCAAATGGGTCCGTGACAACAGAGGCCCTTTATACAACGGTACGACCTGTGGAACAATCAAGGAAGGTCAGAACTGTATTAGCCATGGAAGACCTGACACAGGCTATCTCTATTGGAGATGGAAACCCACACACTGCGACCTCGCCAGGTTCGAACCCCAATCTTTTCTTCAACTTGTCAGGCACAAGCACTTAGCTTTTGTGGGTGATTCCATGGCTAGAAACCAATTAGAGTCACTTCTCTGTATGTTAGCCACTGTTTCCACCCCAAATCTGGTCTATAGAAATGGGGAAGACAACAAATTTCGCAGATGGCGTTTTGCTTCTCACAATGTCACTATATCTGTGTATTGGTCTCCATTTCTGGTAAAAGGGGTTGAGAAATCAAGCACAGGACCAAATCATAATGAACTCTACTTAGATCTTGTTGATGAGAGATGGGCAAAGGATCTAAATCAAATAGACTTGATAGTGCTTTCAATAGGTCACTGGTTTCTGCATCCTGCAGTATACTATGAGGGTGACTCAGTATTAGGCTGCCATTACTGTCCTGGTTTGAATCACACAGAAATTGGATTCTATGATGTGTTGAGAAAGGCTTTGAGGACTACCCTTAAGAGCATAATTGAAAGAACAAGTGTTTATAATAATAGAGACGGAATCAAAGTAACAGTGACAACATTTTCTCCTGCACATTTTGAAGGTGAGTGGGATAAGGCTGGGGCATGTCCTAAGACTGAGCCATTCAGAGAGGAAGAGAAGGAACTTGAAGGGATGGATTCTGATATGAGGAAGATTGAGGTTGAAGAAGTGGAAGGTGCTAAGGCTAATTATAATGAGAAATTTGGAAGGGGTCTCAGATTGGAGGCAATGGATGTGACTAAACTGGCTTTGATGAGGCCGGATGGGCATCCAGGTCCTTACATGTATCCTTTTCCATTTGCTGATGGAGCCAAAGAGAGAGTTCAGAATGATTGTGTTCATTGGTGCTTGCCTGGTCCTATAGATACTTGGAATGAGATTTTTCTGCAGATGATCAACAAGTGGAATAATAATGATCAGCCCACCAGTTCTTGGGTGAATTGATTGTAGCTAACGAACCCAATGACAGATGAACATTCAGTCTCACTATGATTTATGTATTCAGGTTCTCTCCTTTGATATCTTTTTAGCTATCAAAGGAGAGGAGTCGAACTTCTTAGTTATCGTCAGTTAGTCTGTATCTTGCTTTTGTTTTTAGTCTTGTCAAGTGTCTGGTCCATTTGGATGATGGACATTGCGTTAGAACAGAGATTTTTTGGTTTCTTTGAAAAATAAATTTGGGGTTCTAGGTACAGATTGGTTTAGTTTTAATTCAGATTGGGCTGTGCTGTCTCACAATGGAAATGCAGAGACAAATACGGCAAAACCAGATATTAATGTAAATTAGTCATTTAGAACTTAAATTACTTTTGGGGGTGGATTCTTCTATTGCTAGATGTTTACCTTATGCAGTGTAATATTTGACTCAATAAAAAAAATATTTTTGTTCTGGTATTCTTGTGTCGGCTGGGTTAATTGAATTGTGAAATTAAAATATTCAAGTGGGATTATTTGAAATAAGCGTAATTTTGGTTCATTGCTTTGGAAAGCAAGTCCCAAATTACGTTTCCAAATGGTATTCTGTCAGTCCTAAATATAAAACTCTTTTTTATAGTGTAAATTAGACTACAAAAAAATTTTATATTTAGAATTGGAGGAATTCTTTGTTTTGGTTTTTGCCTCCTCCCAGAATGGGTTATCTTGGTGGGTCCATCCCTATATTTTCTTTGATTTTAGTTGGATTCGATTATTATTGTTTTGGACCAATAGATTCAATTAATATATTATCCTGTCTTTCATATAAGACTGTGGACCAATTTGGAAAAATAAAAAAACTAAATAAATTATTGAGTAAAGTATACTTTTAATCTTTTAATATTATATACGGTTTTATTTAGTCTCTTTAAAAAGTAGAGTATGTTTTCAATCCTTTAATCCTAAAACTCTTAACCAAAAGAAAATGATGATATAGACATTTTAAATGTTAATAAAACATTTTTAAATGCTAATTTATTAAGTTTAATTTTTGAAACAATTATGATTATTTTTAAAAAAGTATTATTTAAGACTAATAATTTTGGAGTTAAATGGCTAAAAATATACTTTTCAAAGTTAAGAAATCAAAATGAAACCTTGTGTAAAATTAAAAAACCAAATGAATATTTTAGTCTAAATTATCTAAAAGTGTTTATATCTATCTTTTTTTCTCCAAATTAGTTTATCCTAAACTGATATATAATCTAATCATATGTATAAGTATTTTTAAGAAATCACGAAATATATGTTATAATTAAGTAATTTATTTATTTTTATTAATTTTTTAAATTAGTCTCATATTAAAAGTCAAAATTATAAATAAATATAAAAAAAAGGTGACTAAATATGATGTGCGCGCGTGTGCGCATGTATTTGTATTGGCGCAAGCTGTCAAACACGATGCACCGACGCTTGTGAGCAGCTCAGATAGAAATAAGTAACGGAGAATACTTGAGCTCAAGTTTTTTTTTTGTTCAGTATACTCTTTTAGCTTTAAATATAAAATTTATTTTGTAATATAATTTTTAAAATATTATAAATTCATATAAAAAAATAATAAATATAAGAAACTTGATATGTGTATTTTTCATAAATGAACCCCTTCCCGGTAAGTAAATTTTTTTTTTGTTAATTGTGATTTTTGCCTTTTCTTTAACATCCCCAGTATGTTAAACTGATTTATTTTTATAAAAAATTATTCAAATGTAAATTGATTTTTGTCCCAACATAGTCAGTCAAAATAAAAGTCATGTAAATGGGAATTCAAATAATTACGGTGTCTTCGACTGGGGCTTTTCTCATCGGTGTTTCAGTTAAGAGATAGAGTATCAAATGCCAAGCATCAGATTACCATCCGGTGATTCCAAGGGAAGGGTCCCAAATTTATTATTTAAAAAATAAATAAAGCTTTTTATCTCAATATTATTAGATCATAATCAAACGGTTGATATTCTTTCAATTTTTAAATCAAACTACAACGAACCTGAGGCAGTGTTCCCCCGCCCGAATCCAGAGGCTAGTGGTTGAGCGTCGGAAATTGGTGCTAGTTACCGTGCTGCATGCCCATGTTACTCCCTCCATCCCTTGCTATAAAATCCTTTTAATTAAATTATGTGGTTTAAAAAAACAATTAAAATCAGTTAAAATCAATTAATATGTAGTAAATACAATTTTTTTTAAATATATCCTTATATATAAATGGGTAAATGTGAGAGAGTAATAGTGAGATAAATGAAGAAAGAGAATGTATTAAATATATTAAATTATGGATAAAATAGGTAATAATATATTAAATGCTCAGACAAACTCAAAAAAGATCTTATAAAAAGAGATAGATCCATTCAAAAAATTGGATTTTATAACAAGAGACAGAGTAGTACTTAAGAATCATTTTGGGCCGTTGAAATAACATAATTTTTTATTAACAATTTTTTTTATTAAAAACGGGTAAATAAGATAGGGAAAAAGACAAGATTTATTTTTTTAATTAAAAACAGGTAAATAAAATAGGGAAAAAGACAAGAAAATACCTTTAAATGTCCAAAATCCCATATTAGTGCCAGTGAAAACTAAAAGCTCAAGTCAAAACAAGGATACTGATTTGGCCTTTCTAAATATTGGCAAAAGACAAGCTTGTTAGTGTAGTTTGATGATATAAAGGTATTGTCAATCGATATGAAAGAGTTATCAACGCACCTAATAAGGGGGTAATTAACATGTATTTGCCTAAGTTTCATGATTAGTTTGTCCAATAATAAATTTTGCTAACTACTTGTTGTTTATAAAAAAAATTGTTGTCAATCTATTTGAAAGAGTTGTAACAATCCTAATCAGTTGACAGCATATGATTGGCCTAATTTGCTAATTAGTTTACCTTGTAATGAATTTTCTTGATTATTTGTTGTTACTATAGATAAAAGCATTGTTAATTTATTTAAAAGAATTGTCAACACGTCTAACAAAGTTGAAATCAATTTTCATGATTACATGTTATCAATATATTTAAAAGTGTTGTTAGTCTATTCTGAAAAGTTGTCAATGTGCCTAACAAAGTTATTAATCTATTTATGTGATGGCAATTGGTGTGCCTATTATGAATTTTCCACGTCACTTGTAATGAGTATATATAAATTTGTTGTTAACCAATAAATATCACACAATTCAAGTGGTATCTTTCAAATACAAATAGTCACCAGATACCACGTAGTTGTCAAAAATGTTTGATAAAATAGTAAACACCTAATTTATAAATTGTCATTACATAAATCCAACTAGAAAGAACCCTGCTCATTATTTGGATAAGTGCTAAAACTTTATTGTCTGTTTTTCTTGTTCAAGCAACTTGAAAGCTTCAATTTTTTTTGGTTAACAATTTTCATCATAGTTAACTAGTAACCACGGGAGGTCAGGTCTAAATGCATTCACTTGTTCATTTGTGTATTCCAATGCCACATTTGGGTCCTATTTACTTAATCATATCAACATATGCTCACTACAGTCTCTCTTGAACAGAAAAATCAAGTAATTAATTCCAAGTTCATCAAAAAGGTTATGCATGCTTTTCAAACTCTTTGCTATGAATTTGGGAACATTTATTTAGAAGAAGAATAATCAACTATCTAAACACCAAATTAATAGCATTACATGAAACATTTTCAGAAAGCAAACTACATATACAAGACAACATCAACCTACTAGAGCAAAATATACCAACTAGTCAACAAACAACACCAAGTTTTCTGGTAGTGCTTTAACCCTTGCTATACTTGATTTGACTCACTAGCTAGTAACTATAACTTCACAGCAAATAATCATACCAAATAAGCCTTTACTCACTTTTAACAAATAATTACAAGTTCGATTTTTTTTTGTATTATTGGTGAATTTCTGAAATAAATACATAATTAACTACAATGTAATAATAGATGACAAAAAAATCAACGAGTCAATGACAAATAAATGTTTCAAGATTTCCATTAATAGCATTACTCACTATGGCTCCTCAATCCACGAAGTTCATCAAATTACTAATACAATATCATTAAAAAGGCATCTAACTATATTTTTACCATGCTCCGATTATAATTATGATGTGACACAATTTCATTATAGATTTACCGGTAAAGTCCTACATTTATAAGAATGAGGGATATGCAATCCAGTTCAAATTAGATGTTAACAAGTGCCTATTATAAATAACAACTCATTAGGTATTACAAAGTTCATATTAAATATTGATCAATAACCAAACAAGCTCATGGCAATGCACAGTATTGGAGTAAAACCTTTCACCATATCAAATGGTAACTAAACAACAAGTTCTCGCAACCACTTTATGCTTTCAATATATTACATTTTGATTCACCATATATGACTTACACTATGAATAAGGCACAACCATTCCCCTTCTCTAATATAAAAAATAGTTGAACCAGTAACCATAGAAGATATGAGTGACAGAACAAAATAGAAGAATGAAAGATGGCCTAATTTAAATCAAGCCACATTGTTTTTCAGCTGATAGTCATTAAATTTGTTGTTGAACTCAAAATCATTAAACTCTAATAGTATCAATAAGAACATATTATTTTAGCCATTTCACTAATCATGGCTTGATTTTTTCTTTTTTAATTAATGAAGTACATGGAGTGGGTATGGGAGCATAACCAGCGAAGGAAAACATTTGCTCTGTACTGCTCAGTTGTACTGGTTGGCAACTGTAGTCATAAAAACTAGAGGAGAAGCAACACACCAACAAAGCTCTCAACAATTGGCTACACAAGATTCAAGATGCAGTTCACTTCGCACCCCTCCAACCTTTGCCTTCTTCTCTGGCGAGCAATTGAAGATTGGAACCAAGCTTTAGTGCAAGAGGAAAGGGTTTCATTAAAAATCAAGGTGAGAAAAAATCAAGCATTCTAAGATAGTTAATCTGGCTAGATAGAGGTTCTGACCAAAAAAAAAAAAATCTGGCTAGATAGAGGTGGTGGGTTTGCTGTGGAAGAGAGATCAAAAGAGTAAGGAGAGGATAGAGTTGGTGAGATTGTTGAGACAGAGGGTGAGTAGGTGACGAAAAAAGCAAATGGAGGGGGAGAAAAAGAAACAGAAGGGCATTGTGGTAAATTAACAACATTAGAAAAAATCCCATTTTGATACCTCTAGTCTCATTTGGGATTAGTGGAATTAGAGTCATTCATTTGGGTTTTGTAAATTTTAAGGGTATTTATTTGGCACTTTCTGTATATATTTTGATTTTTTTGACCAAATATTATATTTTAATTAAAAACCTTTAATTTTAATATTAATGCCTTAGATACATGACAAGGACCGCCATAGCGGTGAAAGTGAAACTATCATGTATCATTTATTATTGGGATAATGTGCTTAAACAAAACATCTAGCATCTGAAAG